GCTACTGGCCAAATATCATCACCCAAGGCCTTTTTGTTATTGAGAAGAAGTTGTTTAAAGTTTTTAACATATTTGACCCCTGTGACCTTGAATATGGGTGAAGGTCATGCATTCGAACAAACATTGTAGCCCTTCATCTCAGCATGCTACTGGCCAAATATCATCACCCTGAGCGTTTTGGTTATTCAGAAGAAGTTGTTTAAAGGTTTTTTAATACAATTGACCCTTGTGACCTTGAATATAATTGAAGGTCATTCATTTGAACAAACTTGGTAGCCCTTCACCCAAGCATGCTACTGGCCAAATATCAACTCCCTGGGCATTTTGGTTATTGAGAAGAAGATGTTTAAAGTTTTTGACATATTTGACCCCTGTGACCTTGAAAATAGGTGAAGGTCATTAATTTTAACAAACTTTGTAGCCCTTCATCCAAGTTTGCTTCTGGCCAAATATCGACACCCTAGGCCTTTCGGTTATTAAGAAGAAGTCGTTTAAAGTAAAATATTGACGCCGGACGGACGGACGGACGACGGACGCCGCGCCACGGCATAAGCTCACTTGGCACTTCGTGCCAGGTGAGCTAATAAAACCATTGATAGGGGAAAACTAATTTCTGCCTAGCGTCTGATCAATCCTTTTCATGTACCTTCTTGGATAATTTCAATTGTTTGTCTTGAATGAACAATAGTGACTTTGTCCAACATGTACATGAAGCTGTCTTTTAACACCAATGTAAACCAAATCTGAAAATTTGTATCATCCAGACTGTCATCGTTGTTGTTTGTAAACAAATGATGTCTACCTCCTTCACATGTAGCATGATGACTTGAATGTTGGTCAGGCAATGACATGTGATGGCAACATCCTATTTTGATTGGTTTGTCATGAAAGGTACAAAGATCCTTTAAGCTTGTCAAATTACAAATGAGCTCTTTACCCAGGATATAGCATATATCCATCAGTTTAAAAAAACAGCATTTATGGTTTCTTTTGTATAGAGATCAATACTCAAAGATTGAAAAAGAATCATATACAGTAAAACCTCATTAAACCATCATCATTTTCCCTGAGGGACTGATATTGTCTGTCAAGGTCAGTAATAATATTGTCTGTCAAGGTCAGCGATAACATTGTCGGTCAAGGTCATCGATAACGTCGTCTGTTATGGTCAGCAATAATATTGTCTGTCAAGGTCAGCTAAAACAATGCCTGTCAAGGTCAGCAATAATATTGTCTGTCAAGGTCAGCGATAACGTTGTCTGTTATGGTCAGCAATAATATTGTCTGTCAAGGTCAGCTAAAACATTGTCTGTCAAGGTCATCAATAACGTCGTCTGTTATGGTCAGCAATACAACGGAGGGAACTGCATAGATGTCTTCTTAAGAAAACAAGAAAAAAGGACCTTGAAATAAATTGGCAGTAATTGAGCAAGGTGGCAAGTGAGACGAAGGGCATTACATCAAGGTTTTCAAGTATACCAAATTAAAAAGGTTTTAATGGTTCTTATTAGACATTATAAGTATTAACTTTAGGCGGATTAAATATTGTAACCTTAAGCTTTATGTTTATTTAGAGGAAGTTGTTTACAAGATTTCAACAAGGAGGATTTTCTAGGTTATTCTTCTGATCTAATTTCAAAGGCACTCACCCCAATATGCTGAAGGTTATTCGGAATGAGATTCGTCAGTTTGGTATGAATACTCAATGCCAAATATATTTTTAACACAAACAGGAATTGAAAAACTATTTTAAGAGCTTTCAAAAATGTCTGTTTCCTTTGTCAAGCTAAGAGTGTAAACGTCTGTTTCCTTTGTAATGCAGAGTGTAACATAACTCTTTGCTTGACAAAGGGAGAAAATGTTTTTCGAAGGCTTGTAAAAACAATTTCAATTCGTGTTTGTGTTCAAATCAAACTTAGCATTTGTGCTACAGGTTAGATATCCTCATCATTCAAGGATCATTTCAAGAAATGTCTGTCTACCTCCATCATTTACTTACAGAGGATCCGGAGATGCTGTTTAAAATTTGTCCACTTTCAGTTTTGATTCCCATTATCATTATCTTAGAATCTTTTATACATAAGTTACGTTGATCAAGCCATAAATTACAGAGACGTCTTGAAGGTTCAGCACTCTCCGACCTCTCAGCCCCCTGGGGGTCAGCCTCGTCTACTGTCTAGACTCTGATACTCATCATCTTAAGAAATGTTGGAAGAAATGTAAGTTTTAGGTGTTACTATCCAGGGTAAGAGAAAGAAACTTCCTACACCCTTTTCTTACCCTGGACAGCTCTATCTTACACACAGGGAAATGAGAGAAAAATATGTATTGTTGACAGACGAAAAATGGGCAAACTATCGTAACTCACTGGACAACCAAACAAGTTGACAGCAAGCACATACCATACAATAATACAGGTTTATAATGTCGGGCTTAAATAAATTCACAAAACACTTTTTTTCAAATAATAGTTTTAATAACATAATATTATGATATGTTTACGGAACCCTGAGCAAAATGAATTCAAACAGATGACTTGAAATCTCCCTACTTAAAGAAAAAACATGTTTGAACAGAACTAAAAAAAAAAAAATGTATGCCTATTCAAATTAAAAAAAAAATATAGGAAAAATACTAGATACTGCTTAGTACAAAGAAGTGAAACAGTTTTGAATATTTTCTCCCTTCCTGCTGGTTTAACAATGTTTGACTCCACCGGAATCTTAATGCCAAATTTCAAAATCTTAGTAGAACGATGATTGCTATATTTATAGCAAAATTCAACACTTTAAACCAACCTAACCTGGAGATTTTAGCAAAGGAACAGAAGTCCAAAAGAGATGAATAATTTTACATTTTTTTTCTTTTCTGAATGCACTCCATCTCTAAGCAACGTTAACCTCCATTCAAGGTATTTGTATCTTAGTATACAAAAATACTCATCAAAACTGAAATTTGGAGATTTTTTGGATTTTTTTTTTTTTAATTATTCAAGTCTGTAACAGGCAAACTTAAAAAAAATGCATATCAAAAATCAGCATCCTCTCACCAATACTGAGTGTTATATCAATGAATGTCAATTAAGACTTGCAAAAACTTTAACTTGACTCGGTCAATGCTAATGCTGATGTAACTACATACATGTAATTGTAAGCTGTCCTATATTTCGAAAAAAGGCAAACTATGATGGGAACAGCATGCTTTATGTTATATAAGTTTAAGTTAGAGATATGCACAGCCAAATGGTATGGTGAATAACCCTTCCAAGCCCCCTGTATCACCACAAAATACTCTTAATGTTACATTCTTGTAAACCAAAACATTCCTAAATACAGTGAAACCTGCTCAAGCGACAACTTCTATCAACAGACAACTTTTAAAACTTCCAATTGCAGTTATTCCCATGTTAACTGAAACTCTGATAGCTCCTGAGAGTGGTCTGTGAATACAGGTTCGACAGTGGTATCAGCTTTCCTCTGAAATCATTGTTTCACGTATAGTGATCAACTTTTTATCATCCATATATGAATGTTAACTCATTGTTTATTTTTTACTTCTATATATATATATCCCTTCCCCCTATTTTCATTTAACTTTTAAGATTACATTACAGTACAAAACAGACTAACAAATATATATGAATGCTCACCCATACAAAATGCAAAAACCTGACAAAAATGTGGAGTTACAATTACAGCACAGCACAAAACTAGCACTCATTCTCCTCTCTATTGTCTAGATCTGGATAAATAATTTTAACATACTCTTTCACTCTCCATATATCCCTGCACATACAATGTACATGCATATTATTACTGTCTATAAAATAGCAATGACATGTTATATTCCTGTCCGATAGCATGTTATTGGATTTTGAACATCAGCTGACTAAAGGGAAGTAACTCTAATACCTAATCGAGGAATACTCGTTTTGTAGATAATTCTAAACAAACGAGCTTCAGCAGTTTCATAATAATAATATGATAAAAAAGTCAGATGGAATAGCAAAACATTTTTAGAATTCTGTACATGTCTTTTTCATCATTTGCTTACATGTATATTACCTGGTAATTAAAGCATGTAAGGGCTAGACAATAAGGGAAAGTCCAATAGTCAGAAACTAGTGAAATCTCAAGCTGGACTAGTCAGATTTTGATATTGCTTCATCTTGTTGAATAACATTGGGTTAGTAGAATCGCACATGGACTATTAAAACTTGGAAACTATTACCCCCATGATCTTGGGGTATTCAAAGTTAATTTCTTGCCCTGAAGCATGGGATAAGAATGCTGACCACCACATTTTAGTTAAAATCTGTCAAGTAGATTGGAAAGAGGTGTCGCTTGACACAAATCAATCTTTTTTTTTATCTTTTTTAATCCAGCACTTCAGCCTGCAAGAGGGTCAAACCCTTTATTTGTTAAACTGTTGATTTCAAAAGGCTGAGGATCATACAATGACCAAAATTTGTCGTCTTTATATATAATTTTTTTTTCGTTTTTGGAGAGACATAGAGGTGAACATGTCTTTAAAAGCTAATCAGTCAATCTGACCCCTTATTCATGTCTTCGTAGAGGGTCAGCCCTTTAAATCCTGCATATATTACTTTATAACCCATTGCCTAAGAATACTACCATTTTCAACTTGGTAAGAAATTTCGTTTGAAACAAGTCAGCTGATATAACTTATATCTTGAATCCCAGTAAGGTACAGTCCCCTTACTTATATATTTGCACAGCTTTTGATGCCTATGGAATATGTAAGAACACAACCACAACTTGGGTTGAAACCTATATAACCAGCAGTTTTGAAAGGGTTGTTGTTTAAAGCAATTGGACACCTTCTAACCCACCTCTGGGCACACAGAGGATCGGCATCTTTAATTATTTGTTCAACTTATGATACCTATATGAGCTAAAGATCCTTCAAACAAAATTTATTTAAAATCTGCTCAGTAATTTTGGAGGAAATGTTTTTGAATGCAAACACTGACGGAAAACAGACAGATGACGGATGAAGCACAACACCAGCTCGCCGTGGCACTTCGTATCAATTAATTATATAAGCTATCAACACTTTATCTTCTTTGAATAGTGAAACATGAATAAACATCAGTGGAACTAATGACCATCTGTACATGTACACTAACATAAAGTGCATTTTACATGTATTGTTGACAATTCAAGTTAGGTTTACAAACTGGTCCATACTCGGTAAAGGTGGGATTTTCTTGATTTTGCCGTTTTTACTAATAAGACGGGATGCCGTCTTAGAGACAGGTTTGGCAGCACCAGGCCGACCCAAGTGTTGTGTAAAGGAGGTGTGTCCACCGAGCCCATCGTAACCCTTCCTAAACACACTGTTTAAGTCTCCAGCACAGGCCTTTTTCTTGAAAATGTTGAAATTTCCAAGGCCTGTAATATTACTGATGTCTTCTAGATCACGCTTGGCTTTTTTAGCTGGATTTTGGGAACTGGCTGCAGACGATATCTTAACAAATTTCATCTTATTTTCCTCACAGTGAAATCTGTTGTGTGTGTTTGGACTAGGTTTTACGAAATCAGGTGAGCCTATATTACCATCAAGGTCTATTTCCCCAGGTGATGGTTTCAGTTGAACTGGAGTGGCAGGTGCTGGACTTTCCTCCATCAGGGTCTCCACAAAGCTAGAACTAGCACTAGGTGTAGCGACACAAGGACTAACTATTGCTCGTTTTAGACGACTAAGTTTTTGTTTTAAGGACTCAACTTCCTTTTCCTTTTGCTTAAGTTCATCTTCCGATTTTGAATAGCACTCTGTAAGGGTAGATAACTCTGAGGTTGCCTGATTTAATTCACGATCTTTAGTCATCAGAAGCCTTCTACATTTGTCAAACTCGGATTTTACTTTCTTCTTCTCTTCTTTGACCTGCTGAAACTCCCGTTTCATTACCACAAGATATGTGGCCATTTGCCGGGTTGAGCCACTTTCTCCAGAACTCTGGACAAGGTTCTGAACTTCCTCCTCAGATCCTGTTAAGATTGATAAAGAATTAGAATCTAAACACAAATTGTAGAGGCACATTGAGATGATTATCGCCTTGCTTAATGTATATAGGTGATCGTATGCCTTTTCTGTTTATAAATTATAACTAATTAATAATACTATTATCCATATGTTGTAAAGCGCTTTAGAGTAATTTTACAAATGATATAGGGTGCTATACAAATGTTTTATATTATTATTATTATAATATACAGGATATCCCCAGCTAGGTAAAACATTTTAAGCTGCAGCAGATCAGTTGAGAAATCATTCATAAGAGCGGTTAATGATCTTCACCAATCAACCCAAGTTCAATATTATGTTTCTCCAATAAATTATATGATATCAAACATTGTTATGGCAATCATTATTTCCTAGGGGCTTTTCCATCATTAACTCATTCACCCCTGAAGACACCTTTGAACTCTTCCAATTCGAAGTTGGAATAGTTTAATATGAAATTTCAGGGGTGAATGAGTTAATTGATTGTATGGGGGAGATTGGATGCACCTGTATTAATATATTACATGTATGTGTGGTGGAGTAAAACCAGATCTGCCTACCATTTCTTATATTAGATCCCTTAAGATTTTATGGGTGGTGGCCCTGAAAGTGCTTCCCACCCTTCCCATATGACGAATTCTGGAACAGGCCTAATCAATATAAACACCATGTGACTTGACTAAAATAAAACAAAGTGTTGCACCTATTAACATTTGATTGTATTCGAGTCTTTTGTATCTATCTATCTATATATATATATATCGTCAAACAAAACCAAGACGTGGAAGTTATCTATATCAGAAATAACAAATGTGAACTGTGAAATCCAACATAATGTTTAACAAGAGTACCGCGGAGCGGAAAAATATATACCCGTCGAATGCCATATAGTGTTATATACTTTCTTACATTGAAATAAGATCTGCATCATTCAAAGAGTGGTTAGCTGACATGCTATAAAAATGTAGGAGAAAATCTCCGGATTAAAAATAAATAAATACTGAAATGAACAAAGGGCAATAACTTTTGCAAAAATCGTTGAATCAAAATTCTTTTCAATCATGATTATAATGTATACTAAGGTTCAAAGAGATCCGTTGAAAAATGTAGGAGATTGCCAGACAAAAATCAAATACTGAAATGAACAAAGGGCAATAACTTTTTGAAAAATTGTTGACTGACTGGTCTCTTTGTCAAGCTATTATTTACCTAGCTATACAACGATGGAACAAAATTGTATATTTCATATGTCACTCGACCCCGGACTATTTGATACAGTGTGTATACGTATAGGTTCTCTATTGATAGGCGAAACGTCCCAGGTAGAGCGACATATGAAATATGCAATTTTGTCACATTGGTGTACAGGTAAACAATATCACTCACTCAAGTCATAGCATGACAAATTAAAGGGACCAGTTGATCTTGAAACGTTGCGACATGTTTGCTATGCACATTGTTTGTGCATAAGGTAAAACTTCAATATATGATATTTTTTACCTGTTACTAATTTTTCGACGTTTTGTAGGTCAACAAATTTCTTCTTTATCTTACGGCATTCTTCCCTCTGTATCTTCAAACTATCCTCCTGACTTTTGAAATATTGAAGTTGCTTCCTCAAAGAGGCGTTTGTTGTTTCTTCCTGTTTAAGTAAACGTAACGCTTCTATTTTACCGTCTTCAATATCTTGTTTCTTTACTTCTGTAGCATTTCTTTCCTCAATAAGGTCAGCTTTCTCTTTCTTAAACTTGCTGAGTTTTAATTTCAGATCTTGAATATCGTTTGAAAGCTTAGAGGGGTCGCTGGTGCCTTCATCGCCCTCCTCCCCACCGTCAAAGTAGAGCTTATGGATGATGTTGCTTCTATTGACACGAGAGCGACAGCTCGGACAAGTGCTGGAGGTGGCAAGCCACTTAAACAGACACTCTTCGTGAAAGGTGTGACCACATGGAGTCGCCGAGATACTGATGCTGGCATCGTTGACAAATAAATCGGAACAGATGCAGCAGAGGGCTTTCATGGTTGCCTGAAATGCAAAAAACGACCACAATACCACTATTGATTATATACAGTGATTTTTAATATTTCTGCGGTATCTATGAAATTCTTGTACATTATATTTTAAAATTGAAGCAGTTTTCAAGGAAAAGTTACGGTAATTTCCATGCACTGGCTTCAAATTGAAGCAGTTTGGTTTTTGTGGGAACCTTGCTCTAGACCTTTCCACTTGTTTAGATTTCATATAGTTTAATTAAAACTTTTAAAATATTTGACCCAAACAATCTTGAAATATCACTATGTTCATAATATTTACATTAAACTTTTTATTTTAAATACTCACACTTTAAAACCTAATTATCATAGCTCCAGAAGGTATTTCATGTTGTTGAATATCTGTTGCGGTTCTTTGGTTCCTAATGGGCTGCCTTGTTCTGCAAAAGAACAACAAAGAAGCTTGATAAATTTATCAGAGCTAGACGATAAAGGAAGCCCAATGGTCTGAGACTATTGAAATCTACAGCTTGAGTAGTGGTTCTAAAATCAAATCTTCTAGCCCAATTGATCAGACAAAAGGTTCTGACGCTACTTATCTTGTTGAATAATATTGTGTTAGTCGAATTTGCAGATGAACTAGTGAAAATTGGAAATTACTATCCAGATTGACCAGTATACGTAGTATTCACAATTACTTTATAGCCCTGTGTTAGCATCCTTGATACCCAGGGGTTACATATATGCTCACTCACGCTCTGTGCACCCCTGGAATATGTCATAGCAAAATTGAAAGCTCAGTGTACCTATATTGTTGATTAGTGTACCTATATTGTTGATTTCACAGTTGACTCAGCCCTGGGGGTCAGTTTTAGATGTAATAATTATGTATAGTATGTGTGTCTAATCAGTTTATTAATTTACATCTGAATACAATTCACCGTACTACCTCTGTCGGTTATTTATTCATTCATTTACATCATATGGCTTCTCACATATGGATTTCACAAAGGAAACAGGTTGTAAGGATATTCAATTCATTTTACAATTAAACGTTACATAGTCGAACACTTACACTTGACTACAGAGTCTGACGTACAGAAATGATGGCATTTGCAGTAGAGAAATGCGAATATTGGCACCGCTATGCAGAGTTGCAGACAGTACTTGACGATCGAGAGTAAATCTGTAAATATGGACACATAAAACTGACACTCTCGCCCCGGTACTTTTAAAGTGTATATCTTGCATGTGACACACTGATCGTAATACCAATTCTAAACCAATTTTTCCGAACTAATTATTCTTTAAAAAACGGTGTGTATATTAAAAACTAAATATATGTATATATACATGATAAAAAGGCATTAAATGTCCATGTGAAAGAAGTAAATATAGAAAAAATAAGATTAACGACAGACTAAAAAACATCGTGAAATTTGTTTTTTAGTCGGTCGTTAATCTTATTTTTTCTATATATATATATACATGTATATTTGAGTTTTTATTAGTTGGTCGTTAATCTTATTTTTTCTATATATATATATACATGTATATTTGAGTTTACCATTTTTTTACATCATTATTTTTTAAAAAGAATTAATGTCTTTTGTTATCAACCTAATGATACAATCTTATTTTAAAAGCGACTTTGTTTCGTTTTCTTTAAAAAAGAAAATCACTTGAAAATAGCTCTGACAAAAGACCTATTTCAGATAGGTCAATAGAGCTATTATAGGTCTTTACATCTATATAGCTCAATCGGCAGAGTGTACTGGACCTGATGTATATATGCTATACTAAAATTGGTCACAACACGGACTTCGATAGCAATCTAATTCCGTGGTCACAACACATATAAACATGTTTTGTTTGTCAGGACTATTTTTTGACAGAAACAAATGCATATGGTTTACAACCTGAATGTGAAAACAGGCGCATGAAAAAAGTAATGCAAATATTCGTTTTAAAAACACTAGTCCACCACTGATTACATGAGAACTTAAATGCACATGGGACGGGGGCTGGCCCCTTTGACCCTTAATTTGGAACTGGGCTGTGATTATCAACAAACGATGGCAAAAGTGAAACCATCGCGATCGGTCCGTCATAGTAGCAATCACGATGAGATCGGTCAAAACAAGGGTAGAAATAGATATCGTACTTCTCTGGGTCGTTTCATGTTTCAATCAACGACTGTTAGACTGACAATATAGCGCTGGTGTTACAGATCTTGCATATTTTCTCGGCAGTGTTTCGTAAATGGCGCAGAAAGTAATCAATACATGCGTGAACATAACATCCGGTGTACAACCAAATTTTGAAACGTTTACAGAACAGAACTCCGGATTTTAGCCAGTAAGGGGCGACGCTTATATTTATTTATTTTTTACTTCTTCGGGGTTGGTATACACAGTTATGGAATAAACATGCATTAATATTTAAAAAAAAGAGATCACATCGTGAAATTAAATCACAGAGCTTTCTTTCCTGTTCTTTCTTTCGATCCCATCAAATGTTAACTGCCACGGTAACATATTTTATATATTTTACAACCACCGCTGTTTTCAAACAACCACTATACATGGTTAAATTAATCAGCTACTAATTTCATTAGACTAATGTCGTACTAATTCCACAAACGGAAATACGCATGTACCTCGTGTAATTTTGTGTTAATTCAAAATTAAATGTAGATGATTTTAAAGTTAATAGTTTTGACAAAATAGTTAAAAACAGGTCTATATGATCTAAATGTTATACTCCACAGATACCAAATGGCTTTAATGCGGAGGGGGTCACAGAAAAACACTGAAGATATTTTTTTAAACATGTTCCGTAAACATTGTAAAATAAACCGCAGATCTTTTTCTTTTGTGTGTGTACCGTGTCTGGGTTACACCACATATTATTAAAATATAGACTACGTACATGCACGGGCTTTCCAAAGTAGCCGAGCCTATTAAACAATATAAAAAGTTTGGGTAATTTTATTGTTGGTATTTATTTTATAAATCTTGAAAAACTGAAAATGTACAAATGCTGTGGAGTACAAAATTAGATCAAGACAGACCGGTCTAGGTAAGGGAGGCCGACAATATCACTGTCAGAAATTGTAAAATGATTGAAACTTGAATATCAATTCAAAGGATACCTATAAAGATAGAAATGGGAAACGTAGATCTAGAGTAGCTTATATCTAATTGCTACAGAAAATGTTTAAATACCTGTAGGCTAGATATATTTTTTATACATGTAGGCAGTTTTGGGAGTTCTATAACTAACTATACCCGTCATGATCGGTTCAAAGTTGACATCTGGCGTTCAGCCTCAAAGTTGACATTAACTATGAACAACAAAGAATTTCAATCATATGAAAGTATTTTGGAAAAATAGACAAAGAAATGCATATACTTGGGCCTATTAGATCCTGTGTAACATGTAATTTATATTTCTTAACCCTTTCACCCCTATGCAACTTTAGGGGGATTCTCCCATGCACTGATCTGGATGAGTCCATTAAGGTCTACAGTGGTGAAAGGTTTAAGTGTGTGGTTTTTTTTTGTCTCCAGAAAACAGATGACAACAATAAAAATTATTTATGAAAAGAATTGTATATTTTTATCTCTCAGAAATACTACAATTCAATAATTTCACAATTTCCGACATAGTAGTACTTAAAGAGACTTGAGAATTTGTTACAGCAATATTTGGACCTAAACTAAGGTGTTCAGAGGAACTTTACACGTTTTAGGTATTAAGACCAACTTTCGGTAAAAATGACATACCGGACAGGGGCGTTTCTAGGATATTTGAAAGAGTAGAATAAAAGTTTTGACGTTTTTTGTTGCTAAAAAACATATAATAATTGTGAAATGCACTAATGTTACGGTTCCTGACTTGGAGCATGTATATTTTATAGTTAAAGTGTCAGGGTGTTTATGTGTTTAATTAATGAATATGATAAATTGCCATATTCAATACAATATTAGCAGATTACGATAGTTGTTTTTTTGTTGATTTTTTTTAAAGGGGAGGGG